GGCATTGCTGGGGTTGGCCTGGGCTCTCCCACCGAGGCTGGACCGGACTGTGCAACCAGCTGGGAGAGCTGCTGGGGTAACTGGGATGTCCTTGGAGTCCCTGGGCTCCGAGGGCTGGCACCGTCCTGGCACCCAGGCGTGTTGGGTTCCCTTTCGGGCGCGCCTGTGGAGAACTGTGTGAAAAGACTTGCAGCACAACCTGAAAATAACCTTTTTTGGGGCGTTATAAAATATTTTAATTATTTCCTTCCTGTCTGTCTTTACCCCTCAGCAGCCCAAATCTGCTCACCCATCAGTGAAAGCTGAAGCAAGGAGTGCAGGTCAGATGAACGCCTGACTCAGGGTTTGCTGCCTTTAAAAATCTTTGTTTCAGTTTCTTTTCTCAGTAGAGAGCTGAGTCGCAGGATGGACCCCTTTCCTCTCCCGCCGCCCCTGGAGGGGCTCCTCGTGCTCCCGGGGCTCCTGCGCCGGAGCCGAACCTGCAGAGCCGCGGCGGGTGCGGGGGGCGAGCGCGTGGTGCACGATGCACGGTGGCACCCGTAGCAGCTCCTCGCCTTCGGGCAGCTCTAGAAGAAACTCAGTTGGAATTTCCCTCCCGAGGTTTTACTTGCCCCTCTCCCTCGCGTTAACTGCTCTTATCTACAATTTCAGTGGTGGCCTGAGATGAGAAATGAGCTGCATTTTTTTTTTTTTTTTTTTTTTTTCCTGCGTGGGGAAAGGCTTCTCGAGCATCTCCAGCTCAAATTGATGATTTTTTTTTTTTGTCTGGTGAGCAAGGGATGCTGCAGCGCAGCCCAGCCAGCACGTACCCACGCTGCCCCGGCAGCCTGCGCCCCCAGCACGCGAGCTTGGCCTGGGTAGACTGGGCCCGTTAGGAAGAGGACAAGCACGGGCTGAAGGACACAGTTACCATGTGCATAGAAAATAAGGCTGGAAACGACTTCAAGAAGTCACCTCGTCCTTTTCTCTTCCTGTGAGCTGAGCTGCAGCAAAGTGACTTTAATCAAAGTGATTTAAGGTTTCGCTTGGTTAGGCTGGTGTCACCCCGCTTCCGCAGCTGCAGACTGTCGTGAGCTCCGCTACCTGGCGCCAGGCTGGGACGCCCCCTCGATAAGCTCAGGGCAAGGGCCAGCCCATGCCCATGGTGCCTCAGCTCCGCAGCTCTCCGGTGGGTTTCTCAGATGTGGCTGGGAGATGAAGCTCAGCAGTAATGAGCAAACTGGTGAGGCGCAGGGTTTGTGTGCGGACTGGTGAAGCGTCGCATCGCTTTTTGGATGAGCCACACACTGATGTACTCACCTATCTTTGCAGGCTTCATTTTGTGAGGACAGGGCCTTCAGACACACATCCACACCAGCCCGAAATAATTCCTGCCAGTGAGCCCCT